CAGGAGCATGTAGATGGCTGGGGCATGTATAGCTGGCAGAGGTGTTGCCTTGATGGCGTGTGCCTTTGCTTGCGACCCGAGAGCCAAGTTCCACACCTCCGGTGGTCCCAGGCGCCGCCCCTGCCTTGGCAAAGGCCGGGGTCGGCGGATATATATATATATATACAACTATAGCTAACCATATACATAAGTATGGTTCTTAGAACCATTCCATAAACCTATGGTTACCATATATATACACATTTCACTACAATATGTTCAATCATCTATGTATGGTTTATATACGTTTATAGTTTGGTAGATATAACCTATATTTGCCATATATATACATATATGTATATATGTATATACTACAATATATACAATCTGGGTAAATTATAACGACCTCACTGTTCTCCCTCACTGGAATCATGGTTAATAAGGGAAATCATCCACAAGATAGCCTTAATTCAGGTTAGTGAATTATTATCATTTACCCATGTATATATATACAGTATATATATATATAATTATATATATATACACATATCTATACCAATATATACATAGTTGCCATTATTGATATATATATATATATACACATACTACAAGATATTCCCAAATCACCACACATATCTAATATACTTGACATATGGTATGTATATATATATATCAATAATGTCCTTGGGTGTCCTTGGTATATTGATATATGATAAGGAGATCATGATAGATGCCAAGTTTAGCATATGTTATTTGGCCACCACATTCGCGAGCAAAGCTGACACCAGGGAGATGGAGATCGGCCTCAGTGATGTGGGCAAGTCACTTGGACGGCAACGCTATGGACCGTATGGCTGTAAAATATGGCTGGTAATATATATATACTAGGTATATATAGGTATATATATATAGCTATTATATATCTATATTAGGTATGTATATATATATGTTTTTCCCCACCTGACAGGTGAGGGTTGTTAGATTTTATCAGAGCTGTTGTCCTCCGCCTCCTCCTCCTCCTCCTCCGCCTCCTCCTCCAGTTTCTCCTCGACCATGCCTGCATCAACTTCCACCTCCACTTCCGCCTTGCCAACTCTTCGCCAAGCTCTTCGCCAACTTCCCAGCTCAGTGCGCACTGCTGGACCTCAACCTGGGACCTTCCCAGCTCAGTGCGCACCGCTGGACCCAACCCTTGGACTTCCAGCTCAAGTGCGCACCGCTGGACCCAACCTTGGCCTTCCCAGCTCAGTGCGCACCGCTGGACCCACCTGGGACCTTCCGACTAGTGCGCAACCGCTGGACTCAACCTGTGACCTTCCAGCTCAGTGCGCACCGTGGACCTCAACCGGCCAGACTAGAATGGCCATAAGATTGCCAGATAGAATGTCAGATAGAATGCCAGAATATATGCCAATAAAATTAATGCCATAGGATATGCAGATAGATTGCCAGAAGATCTGTCCAGATAGAATGTTAGAATATATGCCAGAATGCCAGAAGATATGCCAGATAGAATGTCAGATAGAATGCCAGAAGATATGCCAGATAAAATGCCATAGGATATGCCAGATAGAGTGCCAGAAGATATGCCAGATAATATGCCAGAAGATATGCCAGATAGAATGCCAGATGGCATGCCAGAAGATAAGCCAGAACATGTGCCAGAAGATATGCCAGAAGATATGCCAGATAGAATGCCAGATGGAATGCCAGAAGATATGCCAGAACATCTGCCAGAAGATATGCCAGATAGAGTGCCAGAAGATATGCCAGATAGAATGTTAGAATATATGCCAGATAGAATGCCAGAAGATATGCCAGATAGAATGCGAGATAAAATGTCAGATAGAATGCCAGAAGATATGCCAGATAAAGTGCCCGAATGTTTGCCAGATAGAATGCCAGAAGATTTTCCAGACAATATGCCAGAAGATATGCCAGATAGAATGCCAGATGGAATGCCAGAAAATATGCCAGAACATATGCCAGAAGATATGCCAGGTAGAATGCCAGAAGATATGCCAGTAACAACATGTATAAATGTCATGGTGGCGATCACTCGAAGTAAAGTTTGTTTTGTATATATGTATTAGGTATGTATACATATATATGTTGCGGAGCCTAAAGTAAACCATTGCAATGGATTCGAATAAGGTCGGCCCGATAGATGAGATTTGATACATCAAATCATCCCCAACCTTGGATGGGTAGACACTAATCCCTTAGTTTTGTGCTATAAATGGACAGTAACCATACAGGATGGGGCCCCAGTTCGTTAGCTAAGTTGGTGCAAATAACTATAGTAACCATAGTGTATGATGGTACGCAAATAAATAACTATATTTAGATGGGGTTATAAACAAACTTATAACTGGAGGGCTCCATATTTATTTTGGACACTCAAAGATTGACCATGATATTGGGGTGCAACTAGTTTTTTGGAGAGATGGTTGTTAGTTTGAGTTGGTGAACCGTAGCTGGATTAGACATAGCTAGACGGTGATATCGATAGTTATCATTCCCATTCATAGCCATGAACCATATGGTGAACCATGGTTAATCTAGTTGTAAAGCGACTTGGCTAGCTACTTTGGCACTAGAAAGAAACACTAGCATGTCTATCCTATGGTGGGAGCTTGATTGGTCGAACTTTCTTCAGATATCTTCAGCGGGATATCCAACTGACATTCTGAATTCTAAACATTTAAGTGATGACCTGAAAACTTAAGTTCATGGCCTCCTGATCACAGAAGTATACACAATCATGAGCATGGGAGACCACCACGAAATCTCTTGAACACAGAATTCAACAGATATCAATGGTTTTGGAACTTTGAGCTCCCCAGTTCGAATTTTGGCTCCCCATGGCTCCAATGGTCACCTCAAACCTGAGCTGTGAGGTTTGTCTGCAGAAGTGACCGAGAACCGCGATTCATTTTCGCACAGGAGTTTCACAAGCAGGAGCTGGGTCAACTTGGGGCAGATCCCACCAAAAACACACGCCGGATTCGTATACAGTGCGGCAACATCCAATATCAATCAATATCAATCAATATATCATAATTATCATATATCAATAACATCCAATATATCATAATTATCATAGGAAAATCTCAATTGTCATAGGAAATAGCACCCAATTTATGTTTCCGAATCAGAAGATCCAGGACATTCACCATCCAAGGGACGAGGCTTTCTTCTCAACGACCTGCTTCCACTGATCTCACGGTTTTTTTTTTGAGCTTAGTAACGGTTAGTAGATTCTGTACCCCATGGAAAAACGGACTTTTATCCGTTGCTAGCTAAGTGTGTCCTGATTACCAAGTAAAAAGCGGTGGTTGTTTGCTTCAGACGCTGGCAGACGCTGCATGCTATTTCTGATTCCAAGCCTCCATTGGGAACAGAATCTATTGATCCCATCCCCCTAATGTCAAACACCCCAATTGCATGGTCCCAATGATGTGGAAATTTCCTCCTAAACCATGGCTTCTAAGGGGATGTTTGATATTGGGGGGAAGGATTTACACAGTTATTACACCCTATCAACCTTCACAAGGTGTAGGGCTGGTATAGAATGGCCGTGTTAGGGTCATAGACATCTCAACCATTCTTGTTGCCCGAGATGGATGTAGCAATTAGTCGCTGGTCACGGTTAAATTGATGCATTTTTTTTCAGCCTGGCCAACGGTTTTCATCGCTTATGATGATCCCAGGTGAAACCTCCAAGAAGTTACCGGGTTACCGTAAAATTCTTTCGAAGCGTAACCAATGGTTGTGTCTGAAAATGAGAACTAGCCATGAACTTGTCATGGCAATGGAACATATGACAAAGCATAGGATTTTAGGTGCCAGTGCCATAGCATATTTTTAAAGACAACTTACCAATTACAAGTAATTCTAGGTTTTTTTTTTGTAGCCAGGGCTGTGGGTGGATGTGCAGGACCGATAGCTTCAGTGGTTTATAGTCCCATCCTAATATTAAACATCCCCTTAGAAACCATGGTTTAGTAGGGAATTTCCACATCATTGGGACCATGCAATTGGGGTGTTTGACGTTAGGGGGATGGGATTAGTCCATATATCCCAATATATATCCCCTGTAAAGGTGGGCAAGGTGGGCCATTCACTTAGAACTTGGTTTACAAGCCCCATTAATCATAGTTACATCAGATGTCCTTTTCCCATTGGTTGGTTGACTAATAGAGGGGTCTGTTTACCCCTTTAACAATAGGTAAATGATGATAGATGGTATACCAAACCGGCCCCTCTATTTTTACCAAAGACATTGTTGGTAGTTACATCTACCATAAACCATACAATGTATCAACTTAGGTGTACCAAGTTTGCCATCAGAAACGGGGGAACCTTGTAGTATCCTTTCTCCCTTTTTAAGCAGGGGATTACAACATGATATGTCACATTACGTAGTCCATACATCAATATACTCATTTACATACATACATACATACAAACATACATACATACATACATACAGACATACATACATACAGACAGACAGACATACATACATTCATACATAATTATACAATATATATATATCCTATACCCCATGCATAACCCATATCTCATTTTTAAGCCTATATAGGCCATATTTTTTTGATATATATCATTCACAGTATAAGCTATGTACATAGAACATCTATCTATTTGTCTCTCTATTCCAATCCAATCCAACCTAATCTAATTCTATAACAAGTCTATCATTTACTGTATAAGCTATATACAAGCTATCTCTATAGACATAACACACACACATATATACCCCATATGACCTTTATATATAAATATACAGTTATATATATACACCATATATAGACCTGATATAACTTTCATATATCTAACTGATCACCATTTTTTTAAAGGTGTATAAAGTACTTTTATCAGCGTATAACCATTATAAGTTTTTTTTAGTGCCATATATAACCATATAAGCCATATATAACCATTAAAAACCATTAAATACCATTAAAATCCATATATAACCCATACACAACCGCCAGGAGGCCTTGACGCCGCGTGACGCCAGCGGCTCGGCGCTAGAGAAAGCGCCAGCGGCGCCAGAGAAAGCGCCGGAGAAAGCGCGGGGGCAGCCGAGTCAGGCAACGACCAAAGGCGGGGTGAAAACCGCTGATTTTCCGTGGATATATATATACATGATATCAGATATATACATATATATGATATTTATATATATATATATATAAATAACCTATTAATAATTATGAAATTCGATAGTTAATCTCGCAAATCCAAACCAAAAATATAGAAACGTTGGAACATGTTGGAAACCTAAATGGAGAAAACATCATTGAATTTCCACCTGACAACTTGACTCGATCGTGTCTGGATTTGGCTGGAAATCGAATCATTAGGTTGGATGGATGGATCGATGGATCGACGGATCGATAGATAGATCGATGATAGATGATAGATAGATAGATCGATGGATGGATAGATAGATAGATCGATGGATAGATAGATAGATAGATAGATAGATGATAGATGCGTCTGTACAAGCGAACCTGGATTGCCATATGTACATATTTGTACTACAAAAAACACTCTCCCCGAACTCGTGCTAGAGTTTAAGAAAGCAAGTGAAAAGTGGTGACATGTGCACGCTTTCAGACATCGATACCTGTTCTTGAGATTAGTACTAGGTACCGCTAAATGCGCCAAGCCAAAAGGAAAAAACCAGTCCGAGTCTATTGTAATTGATACATACGTATACGTAATATATATGTATATATATATATATATTATCTCCCTGTATATGAAAAACATGTATAGATATACATATATTTAGATATAGATACATTGATAGATATTGATGCGTATAGATTACAGTTATAGATATCAATACATACATAGATATGGATATATATATATGCAAATATATAATATACATTTACATATGTACTTATACATGTAGATATAGATACATATATATATATATATGTATAGATACATGTACAGAGACAGACATAGATAGAGATAGATATAGATATAGATACAGATTTGGAAGCATGCATAGATACGGTACAGGAATAGATATAGAGTATAGACATAGCTATAGGCTATAGATATAAACATAGACCTGGGTATATCTACATATACTTTTGCATATATATATATATAGAACATAGGTTCAATAGGTAAAAGCTATTAGATAATACAATCGATTATCAAAGGAAGTTGGGAAGCAATACTTCCGTGTTACGGACAAATATAATTCTGAGACTTGAAATGATGAAGGGTGGTGCGCGATTGAGAGATTGACCTTGATGAAGGGTGGTGTGAGACTTTACATGACATAACAATACATCAGAAAAGAATTGACCTTGATGAAGGGTGGTGTGAGACATTACATTACATAACAATACATAACAAAAAGATTGACCTTGATGAAGGGTGGTGTGAGACTTTGCATTACATAACAATACATCACAAAAGGATTGACCTTGATGAAGGGTGGTGTGCGACTGTACATTACAGTGGCAGATCGCATTGGAATGGCTGCATGAATGTTGCACGGGCTTTGTGTTGGGGAGGAAGCCGGAGCACGAAACCTTGTGTTTTTCCGTGTAAAGTGGCTGCAGCCGGCGATGAAAGGTACCTCGGCTGTGCGGCGGTTGCGGCTGCGGTCGTTTCTGTCGCGAATTGTTCCTCCTATGTGTTTTACAACGAGTGGTTGTTCCTGTGTGCGTAGTTCTATGCTTTTCTTGAAGCTGTGGTAGCAGATCGCATTGGAATGGCTGCATGATGTTGCATGGGCTTTGTGTTGGGGAGGAAGCCGGAGCACGAAACCTTGTGTTTTTCCGTGTAAAGTGGCTGCAGCCGGCGATGAAAGGTACCTCGTCTGTGCGGCGGTTGCGGCTGCGGTCGTTTCTGCGCGAATTGTTCCTCCTATGTGTTTTGCAACGAGTGGTTGTTCCTGTGTGCGTAGTTCTATGCGTTTCTTGAAGCTGTGGTGCAGATCGCATTGGAATGGCTGCATGATGTTGCATGGGCTTTGTGTTGGGGAGGAAGCCGGAGCACGAAACCTTGTGTTTTTCCGTGTAAAGTGGCTGCAGCCGGCGATGAAAGGTACCTCGTCTGTGCGGCGGTTGCGGCTGCGGTCGTTGCTGTCGCGAATTGTTCCTCCTATGTGTTTTGCAACGAGTGGTTGTTCCTGTGTGCGTAGTTCTATGCGGTTCTTGAATCTCTGGTTGCAGATTGCATTAGAATCGCTGCTTCATTGTCGTCATTTGCTGTTGCCACGTGCGTAGATAGGTGCGGGTTTGCCACGGGATGTTGCGAAACGCATTGTAATGGCTGCATGAATGTTGCATGGGCTATGTTTTGGGGAGGAAGCCGGAGCACCAAACCTTGAGTTTTTCCGTGTAAAGTGGCAGCAGCCGACGATGAAAGGTACCTCGTCTGTGCGACGGGTGCGGCTGCGGTCGTTTTGTGCGCGAATTGTTCCTCCTATGTGTTTTGCAACGAGTGGTTGTGTCTGCGTGCGTAGTTCCATGCGGTTCTTGAATCTCTAGTTGCAGATTGCACTGCAATGGCTGCTTCATTGTCGTCATTTGATGTTGCCACGTCCGTAGATAGGTGCAGGTTTGCTACGGGATGCTGCGACACGCATTGTAGTGGCTGGGTCAAGGTTGCTCGGTGCTGCGGCTGCATGCGCAATACGATCGTCTTTTGCAGCTGAAGATCGTAAATCGTATTGGAATGGCTGCATCAAGGCTGCGAAAGTGAATTGTCAGCAGATTTTCTCCATTTTGGCACTAATAATTTTCCTTTTTAAATTCCTTTTAAAAAATGCTTCAAAATCGTCTTTTTGTCGCTTTGGCGTCGAGATCCGGTTTTGGAGCTGCAATTTCCGACGCCATTGCACGTAGTTCTATTGTGTTTTGCTACTCAGTCTCTGCAGATCGCATTGTAGTTAGTGGCTGCGTCAAGGTTGCTTGGCGCAGCGGCTGCATGCGTAATACTATTGTCTTTTGCAGCTGAAGATCGTAAATCGTATTGGAACGGCTGCATCAAGGCTGCGAAAGTGATTTGTCAGCAGATTTTTTCAATTTTGGCGCTAATAATTTTCCTTTTAAAATTCCTTTTAAAAAGTGCTTCAAAATCGTCTTTTTGTCGCTTTGGCGTCGAGATCCGGTTTTGGAGCTGCAATTTCCGACGCCATTGCACGTAGTTCTATTGTGTTTTGCAACTCAGTCTCTGCAGATCGCATTGTAGTGGCTGCGTCAAGGTTGCTTGGTGCAGCGGCTGCATGCGTAATACTATTGTCTTTTGCAGCTGAAGATCGTAAATCGTATTGGAATGGCTGCATCAAGGCTGCGAAAGTGATTTGTCAGCAGATTTTCTCAATTTTGGCGCTAATAATTTTCCTTTTAAAATTCCTTTTAAAAAGTGCTTCAAAATCGTCTTTTTGTCGCTTTGGCGTCGAGATCCGGTTTTGGAGCTGCAATTTCCGACGCCATTGCACGTAGTTCTATTGTGTTTTGCAGATCGCATTGTAGTGGCTGCGTCAAGGTTGCTTGGTGCAGCGGCTGCATGCGTAATACTATTGTCTTTTGCAGCTGAAGATCGTAAATCGTATTGGAATGGCTGCATCAAGGCTGCGAAAGTGATTTGTCAGCAGATTTTCTCAATTTTGGCGCTAATAATTTTCCTTTTAAAATTCCTTTTAAAAAGTGCTTCAAAATCGTCTTTTTGTCGCTTTGGCGTCGAGATCCAGTTTTGGAGCTGCAATTCCTGTTGTGATTATGTACAAGAAAGCTTCTCTGTGCAAAAACTTTTTTCTGTAAAAGCTTGCTGTGTGTAAAAGCTTCTCTGTGTAAAAGCGTCTCTGTGTAAAAGTTTCTGTGTGTGTAAACGCTTGCCATGTGTAAAAGCACTGTGCGTAAGTGTTCTGTGTGTAAACGCTTGCTGTGTGTGAAAGCTTGCTGTGTGTAAAAGCTTCTCTGTGTAAAAGCTTGTTGTGTGTAAAAGCTTCTCTGTTTAAAAAGCTTGCTGTGTGTGTAAACGCTTGCCATGTGTAAAAGCACTGTGTGTAAGTGTTCTGTGTGTAAACGCTTGCTGTGTGTGAAAGCTTGCTGTGTGTAAAAGCTTCTCTGTGAAGAAGCTTGCTGTGTGTGAAAGCTTGCTGTGTAAAGCTTCTCTGTGTAAAAGCTTGTTGTGTGTAAACGCTTGCCATGTGTAAAAGCACTGTGTGTAAGTGTTCTGTGTGTAAACGCTTGCTGTGTTTGAAAGCTTGCTGTGTGAAAAAGGTTTTGCGTGTAAAAGCTTGCTGTGTGTAAAAGCCTCTCTGTGTGTAAAAGCGTCTCCGTGCAAAAGTTTCTGTGTGTAAACGCTTGCCATGTGTAAAAGCACTGTGTGTAAGTGTTCTGTGTGTAAACGCTTGCCGTGTGTGAAAGCTTCTCTGTGAAGAAGCTTGTTGTGTGTAAAAGCTTCTGTGTGTAAAAGCTTCTCTGCTTGAAAAGCTTGCTGTGTGTAAAAGCTTCTCTGCGAAAGAACTTGATGTGTGTAGAAGCTTTGTAGTACAAAGTAGTACTGGAACGTGTTTTGTGCAAGCTTTGTAGTACAAAGTAGTACTGGGAAGTAGTTTGTGCAAGCTTTGTAGTACAAAGTAGTACTGGGGAGTGCTTTGTGCAAGCTTTGTAGTACAAAGTAGTACTGGGAAGTGTTTTGTGCAAGCTTTGTAGTACAAAGTAGTACTGGGAAGTGGTTTTTGCAAGCTTTTGTAGTAGACATCAGTACTGGGAAGTACTTGAAATAAAAATAGCCAAGAAGAACTTAGCTGACATATGGGAAGACATGGAATGAGATGAGAAGAGCTCAGATGAGATGAGTTGAGATGAAGTGCAAGTGTGAAGTGTGGAGTGTGGGGTGTGAAGAGTGCAATGTGAAGTGTGAGGAAAGTGTTTGCATTGTACCGGGGTCGCGCGCAGGTCATGTTCTTGGACAGCAACACTGCAACAGCTTCGCACAAAGCACGCACGCACGGGCCTGGCTGGCGCACGGCGCATGCAAGTTCCTTAGTAGTACTGGGAAGTGATTCATGAAAGCTTAGGTGACATATGAGAAGAGATGAGATGAGAAGAGATGAGCTGGGATAAGGTGAGAAGAGCAAAGATGAGATGAAGTGTGGAGTGTGAAGAGTGCAGTGTGAAGTGTGGGGCGTGAAGAGTGCAGTGTGAAGTGTGGAGTGTGAAGTGTGAAGTGTGGAGTGTGCAGCGGGAAGCGTGCAGTGAAGTGTGAAGTGTGGATTGGGAAGAGTGCAGTGTGAAGTGAGAAGTGTGGAGTGTGAAGTGTGAAGTGTGCAGTGTGGAGTGTGAAGAGTGCAGTGAGAAGCGTGGAGTGTGAAGTGGAGCTTCAAATGTGACATGTGAAACAAGACACCACTTTCGCAGAGTGCACGCACGCACGGGCTTGGCGGGCGCACGGCGCATGCAAGTTCTATAGATGAGAAAGGTCTTATATATATCTTTAAGGCAACTTCCGCCCCGCCTCGTGCGGGTACTACTGGTAATAGCTAATGGATGATAGTAGATATGAATACATATTTATATATATATACACATCCATATTTAATAGATATAATAGATAATGGTGTTATATAATTTCATATATATATATAAATATATATAATCATTTTATACATATAATAGATTAATTATAATCTAATCACATCCATGTATATATATATACATCCATATAATGGACTAATATAATACATACACATCCATCGTCTTAAGATATGACGACTTTTTTGTTCCGCTTCTCCAGGTTTAGCTGTTGCCAAAGAGGCCGGCACCATCCGCATGGACAGCGTCCCCGCGCTGGGAGAGCCCAGGGGAAGGGACGTTGGCGCGGTGGATTTTGGGGAAAAATTGGGATTTCTGAAGGATTTTTGTGGCTTTTGGGTGTTTTTCTTTGGGATTTCATGGAATTTAAGAGGGATTTTATGGAATTGGAATGGGGATTTAACGGGATATAACCAGCAACGTATGATTTCATGGGGATGTACTGGGGATAAAATAACTCGATTTCCAGAATGCTTATACAACTGGGGTTGGACATGACATAATTGGGATAGAAAGGAAGACTTGCATGGCATATCATGGTGATTTCATGAGATTTAATACGACATTAAATGTGGATTTGGTGGGATATAACCAACAAAATGGGATTGAATGGAGGTATCCTAGGGATTGCCCGATGCATTGTATCCATACATAGGATCAATTTCTACGACCTGGCGACACGACACACATGATGTCTTGTTGAGGGGGAACTGTTTGATTAAAAAAACCGAGCTGTTTTCCGGTTGGTGAAGGGAATCCAATCAGAAAATTTGACTAGAGATTGTGAGTCTATGACAAGTACAACAGAGGGCTTTGGCCTAATGTGAAAAACGTAGTGGATTTGCCCGGAAACAGGAGGATTTGCCAATTTATGGCCATGTTCAGCCCGAATGTCTTCTCAGCATCTTAGGGGATTTAGCCACAATTCTATCGGCATCAAATACTAGGTAAGAGGGACAGTTTCGGTGAATCAATATGTCTAGTGGCATGAAATGAGGTTCCAGTTTTTCTTGAGACAATCCCAAATATCAATGTGCACTGCCGACATGGCAATTAGGATTGTGGATTCATCCAAAATATGATGCACATTTCCAGTTTAGGGACCATGAATTGTCATCAATTGCCTAGATAGGGAGTTGGCTGTAGGGGAAGGGTGAAGTATGGATTTGGCATTGAAAAAACATATTCAAGATACTGTAAGGCTGTAAGGTTTAGGCAATATTTTATTCAAGCAAGATACTGTAAGGTTTAGGACATGATCGGCATCACATTTTTGCGTCTATGAACGCTGCCTTGATGCGTGAGGCCCTGCAATATGAGGAACACACGGGGCTGATTTTGATTATCTCTTGTACCTCACCATCCCACATTGAGATCATTTGAAATGATCGCAATTTCATCACCATTTTCCCGAAACAATCTCAAACGGTCATTTGGGTGATCAATTTTTTATGTCATGCCATCCATGGGGTCCATGGGACAGACTTTAGACTTGTCAGTATTTTCACAATCTCTAATTTTTGGACCCTCTGGTAATTTGTTACAGTTTGCGAACTTGAAAATGGCCCATTGATCATAGAAAGTTTGTTGACTTACCGCACTAAAAGATGATGATTTTCCAGCTCGCAAACTGTTGGTTTACCAGAGGGTACCCAATTTTTTTTCGGAGCGAACTCCAGCCATTGGACGAGGCACGCGGAGGATGTGAAAGGATTCGATGGCGGCGTGCAACGGCCAATGGGCCACTTGGACGGTGGTTTCGGGCCAGATCCGGCGTTGAAGGAATCTATAGGGAGCAGGAAATAATGATCTTATGTTATCTTAATGATATAATTTGATATATATATACCATCCCTGCAAATAAATGATTTTTCATGGATGCCTCCACTCTGACTCGCCATTGATTAGCAGAACGCAAGGGACCAGTGTTTTATTCGCTAACGGTTAGACGTTGAAACAGTTGAAACCATGCCCAACATGTTATGGCTTTAAAAAAGTCCACAGGCACAGCAAACGTGCTGGCTTTTGGGATATTGACCTCTAAACATTCTCCAAGCTGATCCGGGAAGTCTCTTCACAGCTTGAACACCATCACTGTACTGCAATCTCACGGATTCTCAACATAGTGCAAGATTTACTGACCTGGAGGATATCTCAAAAGTCCCGCCTAAAGACCAAACCTCATCCATGTTTCCCTAGTTTTGGCTAAACACATTACTTAGAAATTAGATAAAATTAGCCTTGCCAATGTGAAACATTGCCGTTAACACTAACTCGGGCAACATTCCTGAAGCGCCGCAGCTCAGTAATATGGTATAATATGGTAAACCCAATGCCAGTGTCACCATCCAATTCACAAACCAAGACAGGAGGTCATAATAGACATCCCAGTCACAGAGGGTACCTAGACCCTCCAAGTACCTTCAAAAATGCTGTTTTACCCAATTTTGCGAACTAGTACTTTGACCATTTCTTTTTTGGGCTATTTGGAGAGTCTACCCAATCATCAAACCATCATTTATTGGATACCCAATCATAAAACCATCATTTTTTGGGGGATGGTGACCTTCATGGTGAATCCCGCCCCACCGTTTTGGCAGATCCAAGGCGAAGAGCTGCCGAAATCTGCATCAGCGCCAGGGCTCACAGCTTTGCAATTCAAGTCTCTTGGCGTTTTTTGTGCGGCGTTCGTATTGCGGAGCCGCCTGCGAAGCGAAGCGGCGACTGGGTAGACTGGATTTTCTCATCAGCTTGTGGAGAATCATCCAAGAAACGTCGATGTTGATGTGTTTTTTAAAACAAATGGAAGTAGAAGATGGGGAGAAGTGAACTATTACCATCTAATTATATATCCATGGTTATGCACAGATTCTTGTCATTGTCATATACTATGATCATTCGCATTTTTGGTACGTATATTCCCATGTCATATATCACATTCCCATTTTTTTACCGGGTACATTCCATATTATATTCTCATGTTTACCATATATCTTCTCTCATTTACTGTATATATATAATTAATATATAATTATATACAATTATATACATATATATATATATACAATTATATATATATAGGTTTCCTAAAATACGGTTACGGTTACTCCCAAATCATCCGAATATGATCAGTGCGAAAACCAATGGTTTGGGGTACCCGTAGCATATATATATATACATGTATTTGTATTAATATCCAAAATTGGTTAGTAACAATGGGAAACCTATATATATATAGTATATATTTATTTATCCCCATGGTTCCATGGTTCCAGCCTACCTTGCGCTGCAACGTTCAGCCGCGGAAATTTTTTGAGGCGCGAGTTGGCCTTCAAAGAAGCCATGGATCGACATATCGCTGCCATGGAGGCGCATGCAGCCGAGGCAGTTGCCGAAAAAGATGCCTGGGACTGCCATGTGAACGATGCTTGGACCTGAGGCTATTTTTTTTCGGTTTTTAAAGTGATATGGTTTCAAAAAGTGTATGTAGAATTATACATATATAATCATATATACATATATACATTATATATATATACACATACAATTTAATCATATATATATACACATACATATCACATATCTATACATGGTCAATCCTACCTTGGATCATGATTCCTGCCGAAAGTTACCTGGTGGTAACCATCCTCGTCGCCCTTAGAGTCGTGGTCCCGCGACGGAGATTGCCAGTTGAGGATTAATCTGGTTACTGTTCATTGTTATTTAACCAATAATCTATTACAGTAATGGTGCATAGTGGTTTAAACACGTGGTTAAAAACGTGATTCATAGTCAGTAAGGATAGATTAATAGTTAGCCAGACAATCAGATTAACCAATGGATTTAATTATCATGTTAATTGTCATCTGGTCAGATAATAATATGATTAATAGTCATTATATAACCAGCAATTTGATTACTATGATTGATCTGACCAATAACCAATAATCCATTACTACTGGTTAATAGTGCTGTTTTGTGATTAATTAATGGTCATTAATAGTAATTAATAGTTATTAATAATGGCTAATGATGGTTTATGATGGCTAGCAATACACATGGGGGTTTCCTTAAATGGGATTACCCCAATAGCTGGATGGTTTACAGTATGTTTATAATGAACAAACTTATATAAGTGCAATGATTTGGGATGATGACTGGGGGTATAATTATAGTTTGGGCCTTCGTAGTTCATAATCCGCTTGGATAACCCATTGGTTAATAGGGGTTAATAGGGGTTAGTAGTCATTAATAGTGATTAATCATGGCTAATAATGGTTCACAAGCATATATGGGGGTTTCCTTAAATGGGGTTACCCCGATACCTGGATGGTTTATAATGGATCCCCAATTCATTATGAATAATCAACAATATAAATTAAAACTAATTATTGATATCGCCAACTATTTGAGAATGGAGGTATTCACCAAGGACTGTCTGGATGTCACGAATTGAGACATGTGTCGTTTTGAACTGGTCGAACTGATCCAATTTAGCAATCTGAGATCAAACTGTCGGGAAGAGCTAGGCGATCTGAAAATATGTTGAAGCATCTTAGCCTCCAGTAAATTAACAGTTCGACCCTGGCAGATAGGGGTTGATTCATATGAATTTCCACTAAATGATTGGGTGATTTTTAGGCTCGAGCTGTTAATTTACCAGAGGCTAAAACTTACTACCAAACCATCTATTGGGCACAACTTCTTAGGCTTCTGACAATGGAGAACTTACCTATGGGCAGATGAGCAGATGAGCACAGCAACGGAATGAGTTGCACCGGGATTTGGACTCCACGCCCATAGCAAAATCCAGGCCTCTAAACAGCAGCAACAATAGTGGAGATCCAACCGCTTAGACATGATGAACCACCATTTGAAAGGTATTGGTTTGTGAAGCATCCAACGTCATTCTGTTCATGTTCTTATATTTTTTTTATCATTGTTATCATTATCCATGATCAATAGCTATTTTACCTATTATCATCTATTACTATTAGATTTATTAGACAAAACCGTTCTTGTGATTGCAGACCTATTATATTTTTTTTGGTGTGTGTGTGGGTGTTCCGCAAACTCACGAAAACGGTCATTTTACATGGCCTGTACACGGCTGGCTTTTGGAAAATTTAAGATCATCTGTCAGGACTTATCAGAAAACTCGCTCTCGCCGATTGGTGACACTACAAGGGCTGTGTCTGAAAATGGGGAATAACCCAGTTTATGACTTTTCAAACGGGGAGAATGATCAACTAATTATCATCTGATCATCAACATTGATCAACTGATGATCAAATGATGATCAATTATCAACCATCAACTATGAAACATCAGGTGATAGTTGATCATATCCCAAAAGGGGAGGTTGATGCCAAACTGATCAAGTATCAAATTTGGAGATACCCGATTTTCAGAGAAAAACCATAGAGACATATGCACAATTTAGTGCCCTAATTCAAAAAAGGATGCGGGGTATCTGTATCCCACTTCCAAACATCTCTGGCTAGACCTGAATTTGGTTGGCTTAGGATGGCTCATGTAGAAATCACCCAGCTGACACTTCCCCCCTGGCGCATCACACCTTATGACGTCGCTGGCGCCAAGGAGTGCTTGCTCCAAGAACGGGATGAGATCCAAGCCAGGAAAGAGAGGAGCGGAGCATCGTCCAACGAACCGTAATGAAATCCATGTCCCATCGACGGTGCTGGATGTTTACCGAACTGTTTACCTACTAAAAATATGCTCATTTCGAATAGCCATATGGGAAAAGTCCAAGCGCATCCTGGCATGCTGCGCTGCCAGAAATCACCTGAATCTGCACTTCCTGAAGCATCAGATGGCTATGGGTGAGCAAAAGCGCAAGGAACAGAGGCCCGATGGGCTGTGAGGCTGCCTAAGCCAAGAACATTTGACCTATAGCGCCAAAAACCTCACAGTTGTATACATTTTTCAATATGTTTGGTCATTCCAAAATGGAACATTTTGGGACCAACGAATCCACTAATCGCACAATTACTTGGAGAGTGAAGCCTCTGAAGCCTCAAACACTGTAGATGTTGAGCTCCTGAAGCTGTGATGCCCTAGGTATCCGACCTTTTTTTTTGGCAGCCAACTACAAAAATCGGTCAACTCCAACTTTTCATCCAGGCATTTTCGACCGGTTCTTTCGGCCGAAAATCTTCGTTTCCGGTCACAGGAAAGAGGATATCGAGGCCGCCTCGGCGCACGACTTTCCTAGTTTCTCTGAAGTGCACCCGGATGAGATGAAGGACTTCATTAAGGGCCAACAGGACCTGCCGGGCCTGTCGGGGGTACCCGGGTAGGTAGGTAGCCGGGTCCCGTCAACGTAGGGTGCGTTCATTGCGTTTTTTTAAAACCGTGTTTGATCTGGGTCATTTTTGTTCCATAGTTCCAGAGTTCCATAATGCCATAGCTATGGCATGTCATGTTAGTTTACTGATAGGTTCTTTGATGTTGATGGCAGAGGGTCGGCAGCTTCGCGGTCTGTCATGGCTTAGGATATCCACAAAATCCGAATGGTTGGTCGTCATGTTCCCATTTGAAATTGACTCTAAATTGGAAAACCAAAGGTACAGCCCATTTTCAGACTTACACGAATCACCAGAATTGCTGGATCTTGCTGCTTCATATTTTTTTTTGCTTTCTTAAGTCAGAGGGGATCTCCAGTCGTCACCATGGGTTAACCTATACTAAGTCATGGTCTAATGCTAGATGATTTGGTGAACCCGCCATGACAAAGCGGACACCTCCATATAGTGGATTACTATTCATGGTTAGTAGTAATTAATTCATAGTTCATAGTAATCGTTAATCACTATGAACTACTATTTCACTATTAATATCTATGAACTACTAAGTAGTTCAGAGTTGTTAATAGATATTAATAGTAGTTCATAGTTATGGTCTACTACCTATTATTTATATCACTTCGCACATTTCGGAAAGGCCATCGCTTCCGGCTCCGCGTCTTCATTTCAGGAGAAGGTGCGGCAGGCACTGGATGATCAGGTGAGAACGAACAACACCTTGCGCTACTTGCCGGATGACGAGATGTTGCATGGGTATGGCGGTGCAGTTGAGGATTTTTGATTGGATCATTGGACATGGGATATTGATGGAATATGAATGGAATAGGAACGGAATAGGAAGGTTAATAGCCTCTGGTAATTTGTTACAGTTCGCGAACTGGAAGCCATGGCCTGTTGATAGATGATTTACCTATTAAACATGGTGATTTTCCATAGCTATGTTAAATTACCAGAGGGTAACCATGGAGATGTTAAACAATTGGCATAACCATGGAATTTAAACTGCCATGTGGGTTGGGAATAACCCCTGTAACTATGGTGAAATCTATCCACTTAGTTCACTGGAACTGCACTTCCAAGAATAGGTATCACCTGCAGATGACTTGTCGCAAGGATCGGACTTGAAACCATGGGTGATGAATTGAATAGATTTCATTACGGGGGTAGCCACCCATTTTTTTCGAGAATCTGCTCGTAAAATGGTACCCCGAAAATTCAACAGCCCAGCTGGTTATTCCTCCTGAGTTCACACTATTACAGTTGCAATTGTTCCCTTGGATGCACTGGAAGATTTGAGTCAATCATTTGGAGGTGTCCGAAAATTTAGGTATATACTCCCAAATGGGTATGGATCAATACCTATTAATAGCATTTTTAGGGGAATGAACATCCATTTACCAGCTATTTTGATGTTCACCAGGGGTACAAGGTTTTGACACACTCCCAAATCATCCAAATCATCCTGCTATTTTAGTATTGACACCTATGGTTTTCCGAGATGTTATTCTTGGAACCCCTTGGATCTTGGCTGAAACTATAACTGGGTCCCCCCCTTTTTTCCGGTGAGTTGGGAATTTAAAAAAACACGTTTTTTTTTTTCTATGGGTATAAGTAGCATTAACTATCATGAACCATAGATATCGGAGAAATGTGGCCCCCCAAACGGCCCGCCCTTGCGATTTCGTTGCCAGGAATCCTCATCCCCTAACAGTTATCATCCCATAGGGACTCAAGCCATGAACAAAACACCCAACGGTTACCCTCTGGTTATGTCAAAATAGATTGAAAATGACCATAGAAATAGTGGATTTTCCCATTAAAAATGGTGGATCTTTCCATAGCAAACTGTTAGTTTACCAGAGGGTAATTGATTGCTATGGGGGATTATAGTATCTACTACCTGGTATTATTGTAACAATGATAAGCCATAGGATTGGGAAACCTATCAACCAACCGGTATAATGAGATGGGACAACGGGGTATTTTTAATGGCTCATATGTACTCATCATATCTTTTCTAGTTATAGGATGTTATAGGTACAATATACATAACACGAGATACCTAGAACATCCTTGAACTACATAACTATCATTGACCATACATCTTTTTGTAACATATTGAAAGGAGTGGCCCAGTAAGCCTTGCAGAAAAATGCCTAATCAGCAACAACCTGTCCTGAGAAGGGGATTCCGGGATGCTAGCTGCATGTTTACAAGGCTATGAAGAAGTTATCCGTGATAATTTGGTGTGATTTAGCAGGTGATGAACGAATCTTCATAAAAGGAGTTGTTGCTCAACATGGGTTCCGCGAAAGATAAACATGGAGTTCGCGAAAGATTCGCGAAAGAAAGACTTGTATTCGCGAAGAATGGCCGTTTGCAGATGAAGGAATTTAGATCAACCGCCATGTGATCAGTTGATGATAATTACATAAATTTCTACTTTTTATGATTTATAGATATCATCAATCCTAACTGGATCATCCCAGGGAACCTCGCGAAGCAGAAGGACCTAGCGCTGGAGCTAAGCCAGTTGCAGGCATGGATCATGCACGGATGTAATATTTGAATATGTTTATTTATAATACGTGTACACATACACATTCCTAGTATACATATATATATATATACACATATGTATATATGCATATAAACCTGATGTATGTCTTTATATACATATTATGGTGTTTATACACATGTGTGCCATGCGAGAACAATACACTATATACTTCTTGCCAAATGAAGGACCGCCACCAGTGACCACCTGGCTGACGACGGATGAGACGGGGGCGTTTTCATACTAGGCTTACCAGTTCGTTAAAGCGAAATGGTGGTTTCCTAAATGGTGGCACCTCAAAATTGATGGTTGATTTCATCGAAAATCATATTAAAATGGATGATCTGGGGGTATCCCCCATTTTAGGAAACATCCACATATATTTCGGCATATTTGGACAGACCAATTGAAAAAATCGGTGACAACTGGTGTTTGACCGAACCTTAACCTTGAACACATGGAAGACATCCCATATCATCCCATCCTAATCATCCACAGCCGTTTTTCGGGACCCCAATTCGCGGGACCCCGGGACCCGGCCTAGATTTCTCCAGGCCAACCGAGAGGAGCTGGCCATGCTGCGGAAAGCTGATCGTGGGGACGCCGAGGATGCACTAAACATCTGCAGTAAAGACAGTAAAGATAGATGAGCAGCGTCAAAACCCCCCAAAAAAACATTGGTCTATTGCTAATCAAGCCGTCCTCCATTGGGGTTCATTGCACTGGATTTTCCTCCCTGTTTGGGATTGTTTGGGAGGATTTAAAGTGTCCCCTTGCTGTGGTTGGTTACTGGGATGGTTTATGGCATCCGGTTTGTCACATAATTGGGGTTCTACTCACTTGTCGAAAGGGGATCAGCCAACAATCCGTTATTGAAACAACTATAAACAAACCAGTAGAACCAATTTGCAACGATTGGCAGGCTTTAGCCGCTGCTCAAATGAGCCATGAACAAAATAACCCTGTTGATTCGTTACTATACAGGATTAGCAAAACCTGATTGACCGGAGATTATGAACTAACCCATAATTTTGGATTAAGTACTCTGGGATGGGATAGGGTTATTTTTGATGGCCCAGATGATTTTACTCAGAAACTCAGGAGTTTGAGCGACAAACATAGGAGGTGCAGACAAAGGATGACAACAGGGATATCAACACGGAAAATTGCGATTTGACTCAGAAAAAGGGTGGTTGGGGAGCACCATGCTGTTTTAGGAGAGGACAGCTGTGAAACCAAGAACGGTAGGGTATTTTGGCATGTCCGTGAGCATAGGAGAGTTGACTTCAATGAGCAGAAAATTGATTTCAATGAGTAATTAAAGGATAGACAATTGGTAGCAACTCACTTGCGACCTGTGATAGGCTAGATAATAGGCTGGGATTTACCATGTTTTACCATAGTTTACCATATTCTACCATGTTTAAAAATTCACTATTTTACCATATCTTACCATGTGGAACACCAGCTTTTACCACTGTTTTACCACATTTCTACTGGCAATATCTTCGTCATCTTCCCGGGCTTGGCGGCCTTGGATTTTTCTAAGGCGCGAAGAAGGCCTTCGATCGCGAGTCCTTGGCGACGGCCTGGAATGCAGATATTCGCATGAAGAATATCTGGAAGGCCATCGACGCTCACGCGGAAAAGATGGGATGATGGTTGCGATGTTTCACTAAGTCATAACATGTCATAACCATACACAACCATCATCAATCATCCCACTCATGGTAACTTATAACTGGATGTTTTTTGGATCATGTTGGCTAATTTTTTTAGTTGGTTCCCAGATTTCATGGTGGTTGGGTTACATGCAAATTCACAGATGTTACGTTTCATGATACGTATCCTGTACATCCTGTTTCCTGTGCTTGGATAGGAAAAAACATGAGATGGGTTCCCAGATGGTTTTTCGATGTTTTTGTGTGCAACCGGGGTCAAGCTGCCGCCCAGTCCGAGAGTTTGAACCCCCCGGTCCCCACCAAGCAACTTTGACAAAGCCGGGTCGACCCCACATTTTCGACACAGGAGATAGCCCTGATATCAATGCTTGCCATTGCTGACATATTCAAGATATTCCAAGATCACACATCCAAAATGACAACACACGATGGCAAGTTGGCACTGTTCTGGATCCTTTGGGTGATTTTTCGGTCAAGACAGTGAGCACATGGGGTAGAATGACTTTCCGCAGCAAAGGGTGTTCAAGTTACGCCGTAACATGTATCTGAAGATTTCAGATCCTGCAGACCGAAGCTGTTGCGAAGATGTTTCAGTGATTTTTTGTGCTGAGTAATTTGATGTAATTTGTACATTCAGAAAGCTAAGTGGATTACTCTCTGTGACTGATTCCCCATCCATGGAACATCTGTCTAGAGTCGAACGGGCCTAAAAGACCTCAACCAGGGATATGTTGCATCCCCAAGTAGGGCCTATCATATCCCTGTTATATCCTATTAACAAAATCATGAAATCACCATGTGTTCATCACCTCCATTATGTACCAATCCCAGTTATTCAGTAATTGATATCAATCTCATTGATCTGGCTATAACTAAATCACCGAAAAAATCCGAACAAAATCCCACGACAACAAAAACCGTGGCTAAGGACAACCACGGTAAAGTGTCCAAGAAGGAGCCGTCCAAGGTAACGATGGACTGCCGATCGGTCAAAAAGGGCAGATGGATTGATATCTTATATCTTAGTATCCTATACATATATTATACTAAGGTATATATATATATCTCAGAGTATTGTTATAGCACGATACGATCAATATATATATATGTATATCTGTCTTAATTGTTATTTATCTTATATCATATCTGTATAATATGATAGTATTGTAACAGTTGATCGACATCTTATGTCTTTATTACATTTTATATTGTAGATTCTTATCTTATAGCATGGTAGGTACACATATTATTATTATTGTATCTTATAGTAGGATACGTATGATACCACAATGTTATATGAGATATGTTAAGATATCTTAAATATATTCTTATATTCCATTGCAACTATTATGCTATCCTAGGATCTTCTTTTTTATGTTCTATTTGATATACGGGTACTATATTCCATTTTTCAGACGTATTATATAATTTGATATATATATATATATTATGTGTGTTACATATATATATATATATTTGTATACATAATATATACATATCATATATACATACACATGATATATCATTGCATGCCACTATAGATAGATACACTATAATGTACATATATCTTGTGCTATGTGCAATATACAATATTTAACATATGACATATAACATATTAATACATATTATATATACAGTATATACACCAATATAACATATATATATACAATGCACAATGTACTGTTATTCTATATGGCTGTGACAGAAAAGGTCTGATGTTTAGCCTCTCGGGACTGATTCGGTGGGATGTTAGTTGTGAGTTGAAAGCATAAGTTTTCACCTAGCCAGGGTTGTAAGTCGTAAGCCCCGGCTCTTCTGGCTACAGCATAGAAACTTCGCCATCTTTTCAGGTGCCCCAACAGACATCTCCTGGGAATAAACAACCTTTTAAGAGTGGAATCAATATATTTTGGGGCTGGAACCGAAGCAGGAGCCGATCAATTGGGACTTGGGATTTTCTGAGAGAAACATGAATAAACCATCCTTTCTTTGCATCATCTCTATTTTGATTGCTTCTTAGTTTCACTTGTTTCTATGATTTCTGATATGTCTTGATATGTCCTAAGATAAATCATCAGTGAACATTCAAAAGTCATCTTTTTCCGAAGATAGATCCAGCAAAAATCAGAATCAATATTTTTCAATTCATTACGCACCTTTTGTTTTTTGTCAGATCTTGAGTTCAGAAACTTGTGAACATTGAACTGATCATCTGTCAGATAGCCATCAGTGTGGGGCCATTTTGCTCGTGAAGGATTTTCCTAGGTCTGTACTGCTGAAGGGCACACGAGGTCTGTAGATGTTATCTGTCAGATATCTGAACTTGTCAAGTCGTTGAAACTTGTCCCAACTCGTTGACTTCCTCCGCGTCAGGTGGCGCTGGGCGATGACCTGCCTCCCTCCCGCGCCGGCTCTACCATCTCGGCGGGACGCATCATGACGGGTGTCTCGGAGAGCAGCTAGCCGTTGGGGGGATATGTTATAAGTTGTATATAGGATATATCATGATATATCTAAGATTATATAGGATATATCTGGGATTATGTGGGATATATCTGGGATTATATGGGATATATCTGGGATTATATGGGATATATCTGGGATTATGTGGGATATATCTGAGATTACATGGGATATATCTGGGATTTTATGGGATATATCTGGGATTAGATGGGATGTATATGGGGAAATAAACCATAAATGGGATGATATTGGGATTACATATACAACATATATATATATGGTTTATATGATTTGTTGTCCATAAATTGAGGTAATCATCTATGTTTATGGAAAATCTGCTTCTTAATGAAGGTTATGGATGTTTCAATGAGATATGATGGATTTATGGGATATAAATGGATACAAAGCCCATTGAACATATGAGATCATTGGATGACACATTGGATGAGATCATTTATATAAACACCAACTATTTGATTTACGTGGACTATTAAAGTACTGGTAGAGATTGTTTCAATGGTTTTAATCATCAAACATATGGGGATCAAAATGGATTCAACTTATAAATGATGGTGTGTATATAAAGATTTGTACATATAGATAGATAGATAGATAGATAGATATAGATAGATAGATAGATAGATAGATCGATCGATCGATAGATTAGATAGATTAGATAGATTAGATGGATTAGATGGATTAGATAGATTAGATAGATTAGATAGATTAGATAGATTAGATAGATTAGATAGATTAGATAGATTAGATAGATTAGATATATTAGATAGATTAGATAGATTAGATAGATTAGATAGATTAGATAGATTAGATAGATTAGATAGATTAGATAGATTAGATAGATTAGATAGATTAGATAGATTAGATAGATTAGATAGATTAGATAGATTAGATAGATTAGATAATTAGATAGATTAGATAGATTAGATAGATTAGATAGATTAGATAGATTAGATAGATTAGATAGATTAG